CATTAATTTTATTATCACGCATGCGCCAGATGACTGTGGCTCATGGGCAGATGCTTGTGTGTAAACAACGTGTATGTAAATACACCTCGATTGGAGATACAATTCAGCGAATACAGTATTTACTCTATTACAAGTACATCTTCTATATTCTGAAGAACATTCAATATTGATTTATTAACAAGCCATACACGCACTGAAATATAAATGGTACTGTAGAATACTGTATTTTCGCTTGGAATTTATTTTCGCTGAAGGGATGATTTCGTGAAAATAAAATCCAGAGAATATACTTTTTTTTCCTATATTTCATATTAAACTCGTCAAAAATCAGTGAAAATAAATTACATACAAAACGCCCACAAAGTCTTTTCAGCGAAAATAAAGTATTCTACAGTATTTAAAATGTGAAAAATTACTGTAAATGCATTAATTAATCAATTGGTTTTAATTTTGCCAATGAGTACAAATATTAAAATGTCAAATTACTGTAAAATACTTTATTTTTGCTGGAATTAATTTATGCGGAAAAACATTTTTGGTGTTTTGTAAAATGTTTTGTGAATGTAAAATATGGGAAAAAAGGTATATTTGCTGGATTATATTTTTACGGAATAATCCCTTCATCAAAAATAGTGAAAATAAATTTCAATCAAAATTAAAGTATTTTACAGTACAATAAATCACACCGTTTCTATAACAAATCTGTGAATTTAAAACCAATACCATAAAAATAAGAAAATTAAATAATGGTGAAAATTTTTTTTTTACAGTACTTTCAAAAGACAGCAAGTCAGCACGAAATTGAATTGTGCACATACAAATTGTTCATTACTTGCATGGCACCCATCTCAAAAGCACATGGTGTGATGTTGGATGCCTTCGACACATACAATGTAAACCCTGTCAAAATACTCAAAATTATCTTAACCCACTTAAAGGGCACACAATGCCCCCTAAGCCCCTAAAAATATATACACACACAGATGAGTATTTTAGACATGCATAACTCAGTGAAAAACAATACAAAACCTTCTAACTCCCAATAAAAAGTACACACACAGTTTAAAATGTATTGCAATCATTTCCTGATTATTATCTTCTTAAAAATGCTTTTTTTTAAAAATCAAAATATTACCTGTTTTTCTTCAGTGTAAAATAAAATTACATAATTTTTATCTTAATCACAATAAATTATTAATTATAAAAATTTATATTTCTAAATCGATGCATGCCCAAATACTTGAACTGTCAACTATTCATGAAGACTAATCCATATTTAAATATTTATAAATATTCATACTTTGTCTAAATATGTTAGTCTGAAACCTGAGGTTCAAAGTTCACCAGTTAAATATGGTAGTCTGAAACCTGAGATTCAAAGTTCACCATCTAAACATGGTAGTCTGAAACCTGTAGTTCAAAGTTCATCCCCTAAATATGGTAGTCTGAAACCTGAGGTTCAAAGTTCACCATCTAAATATGGTAGTCTGAAACCTGTAGTTCAAAGTTCATCCCCTAAATATGGTAGTCTGAAACCTGAGGTTCATACCATCACCTAAATATGGTAGCCTGAGGTTCAAAGTTAAATATATCTAAATATGGACGTCTTCACTTCCAAATAAGGAAGCAATATATAGATTGGAGACTTCTCATTGGTTTATCATGCTTTAGGAAGTTTTGGATTTTAAATAATCAGCATATCCCTTGCAAGCTGCCTGCATATCTGTCAGAAATTTGGGTACTCCAGTCTGTAATGATAAAAAAAATATTTTAGAAGTTTTGAAATTGATTGGCATTATGATATTGTCAATGCAGAACAAAAAGAAAGAATGAGGAATGAATACAAATTACTAAAGTATTTTTAAAAAATCTGGTACTACAGTGATGCTTGTTTGTGAGTAATAAAGACAGACACCGGTACAATATGTGTGCACGTCCAAGCTTTTTTTTTTTTTTTTTTTACATTTAAGTTAATTTTATTTCTTTTCAAAATAACAAATACACAGACAAGAAAAGAAAAAGGCTGTACACACTAACTGGTTCACCACCAAAACATAAAGTGACGTTGTCTTATGGTGCAAAATTGGTCCTTTTTTCTAGGAAACAGAAACGTGGTGTTTCTTCTTATGGAAATTATATCTATCTTTCTTATATACCGGTAACTAATTTCAGCTTTAATGGCAACAAAGGATGGTAATTCTTTCTTCATTTTGCTTTGCCACGTCCAAGCTTTCTTCCAGACTGCCCCATACTACCAAAAACTACAGACTCCCTAGCATCATGTTACATACCGGTATTACCAAAAACTACAGACTCCCTAGCATCATATTACATACTACCAAAAACTACAGACTCCCTAGCATCATATTATATACTACAACAGACTCCCTAGCATCATTGTCATTCTTAATATATTACATTACTCATATTTCATAATAAAACCTATACATGTATTTGGTATGATATGTTTCATATATTTGTTTTGAGCACAAAATTATATTTCTCCTGAAATTTAGTTTTTTCCCGCTAATTTCTTTAATCATTAGACGAGAAACAAAAAATCCTTGGGGGGGAGGAGGAGGGTATTTACCAATTTCTTTGCTGATTCACCTGGTTACCGGTGTTCTGATGAGTTATTGAACATTTACATAGTAAAATTAACGCAGACAAAATTGTAATGTTTTTACACACAAGTTTCTACGGTAACTGTGAAACTGAAGACTTTTCTATACCAAGGGTATTAAATATATATATTCTTAATTTGTCACCAACAAACATTTTAGAAATTTTTTTTATAAATATTTTTTTTTTTAGCTATCCTTCTTTATAGCATACAATAGAAATTAGGTTACAGCACAATATTACAAGATTCAACAAATGTTACTGCTAATATAAATAAATATGATTATTACCTTAGCTCCCCAATTTATGAGCCATGTTGGAATCATTCCTTTTGGGTTGTCATAGTAATACATAAATGCTGTAAAACAAAGAATATGGATTCATGAAAAAAAAAGTCAGATGGTGAACAGCGCCCCCAGTGGTATACTTTACAAATTGTCAACAACTGTTTCTGTCTAAATATTACCAGTAAGTAAAGTTTTAATGGAAAACGAAATTTTTCATACTTTTCATATAATAAATAATTTCTTTTAAAACGTTAATCAAGAACTGTAGAGAATGCAAATTTAAATATATTTGGTCTAGATTTTACAAATATAATACTGTAAAATACTTTATTTTCGCTTTGAATTAATTTTCACTATTTTTGCTGAAGAAATGATTCAGTGTAAAAAAAATGCCAGCGAATTTACGTTTTTTCCCATTTTGTTATTTAACTTGCCAAAAATCAGTGAAAATAAATTCCATAGAAAACATGCAAAAATGCTTTTCAGCAAAAAATAATTACAGCTAAAATAAAGTATTTTACAGTAGAGGAAAACACATAATGTACATAATGTCAGTTGAGTCAATTTAAAATATACATTGTATATGCAAGGCAGAATTTGATACGTCGAAAAAAAACCTGTGAACATGTCAGCTGCTCTCTGATTGGTCCGTTAGTTAGGTGTTTGGGTATGGTGGCCAATCAGGAACAGTCTTGTATTAAAGTAGCTTTGCATCAACTTCAAAAAGTCAAATAAAGTTTGAGTTACTAAATGTGGACATTGAACAACAAAAGCAATTCATGTTGCCCGTAACTCAAAGTTCGGTTAACTGGTGATTAAACAACAAGTTATAAATTGGGCGTAATTTTGCAAAAGTCAGCATGGTTACTAAAATATGGGCATGGTTTCAAAGTTTTCATAACTCGATGTCCGTGACTCACACAATTCAGCATTATAATATTATAACTCTTTCAGTGTATCCAAACGCTGGCGATGGTTTAGGATTTAGTTAGGAAGTTTGAATATTGAATTCTGATTGGCTATCCAACACTAACATCTAACAGTCAGACCAATCAGAGACTAGCTTACTTGTTGGCATTTTTTTTTTTTTTGACATATCAAATTCTGTCTCGTACATATGCTTCAAATCAAATCACTGCACATTGCAGAAATTCTTGCAATGCATCTAAAATCAGACCATCATATACATTTCACATAATAGTTATATAAAAAAAGTAAATTTCCATTTATTTATTTAATTTTATTATAGTTATTATATTTGTAAACCCTTGGGGTGGCGTGTTGCAAATATGACCCTTTGAATACAGTATTTACTCTATTACAAGTACATCATCTATATTCTAAAGAACATTCAATATTGATTTATTAACAAGCCATACACACACTGAAATATAAATGAGTGTGTGTGTATATATTTTTAGGGGCTTAGGGGGTATTGTGTGCCCTTTAAGTGGGTTAAATTTTTCCTCGCTCAAGTTTAAGATAAATTTGTTGACAGTTCTCGTATTTTTTACTGAATTCAATCGTAATTTGGACAGACAAAATGTTACATTGCTTACAAAAAATCAGAAATGTTCACAACCATTTTTATAGAAAAGAGCTACTTTGTGGATGGTGTCTACCGATAAGTTGAATTTGGTGCACAAAAGTATAACCCTTAATTAATAAATAAAAAAAAAAGTGCTGAGAGCTTGTAACCCATAAAAGTACAACTTAAATTACTTTATTGAACTGCTCCCTGATATAAAACTATTTTTCTGATTTCTTACCTTTTTTGTAAATTTGTTCAAATTTTTTGTAATTTTCACTGAATTCAATCGTAATTTTGTACAAAACAGACAAAATGTGACATTACTTACAATTTTTGCAACATTTATTTAGTGCAAAGCAAACAATGGGAGTCTTTGCAGTTACCTTGTCTGTATGTGTGTAGGGGTGTGTGTGTGTGTGTGGGGGGGGGGGGTCTGTGTGTGTGTGTCCGTCTGTTCCACTGATATCTCAAGAACCATACATCGGTTTTTGATGAAACTTGGTGCATAGATGCTCTAAATTAGGTTTTGATATTAATTCATGCATATTAATTACCTATTTTGCATGATAATTAACTCATTTTTAGCTGTTCCATGACTGTTCCACTGATATCTAAAGAACCACTCATTGGATTTCGATGAAACTTGATTCATAGATGCTCTAAACAAATGCCAGGTTTTGATTAGTTTTCGGTGAAAACCTGTACATATTAATTACCTAATTTGCATAATGATTAGTAAATTTTCCGCTCTTCCACTGATATCTCAACTACTAATCATCACATTTCAATGAAACTTGGTACCTAGATGTCATAGGACACTGCACAGACCTAGTAGTTTTTAGGGTAATATCAGTACGTATTAATTACCTAATTTGCATAATTAATTAATTTTCAGCTTTTGAGATTTCAAGTAGTAAAAATTACATTTCAATGAAACATGGTACATAGATACTCAAGCACTATGCAGAGATCGAGATTGTTTTTGGATAAATATTTGTGCATACTAATAACCTAATTTGCATAATTGGTTAATTTTAGGATTTTCACATATATCTCAAGTACTAATAATGACATTTCAATGAAACTTGGTACACAGATCCTCCAGGACTATGCAGAGATCTGATTAGTTTTGGGGTAAATAATTGTGCATATTAATTAACTTATTTGCATTATTATTTAGTTTTCTGCTTTTTCACTGATATCTCAAGTACTAATCATCACCTTTAAATGAATCTAAACTATGCAGAGAGCCAATTAGTTGTTGCTATATATTTATGCATATTAATCACCTAATTTGCATAATTAATAAAATTTCAACTTTCGCACTGATATCAAGTACTAATCATGACATTTCAATGAAACTTTGTACATAGATGCTCTAGGACAATGTTCAAATATGATCAGTTTTGGGTTAAAATCTGTTCATATAAATTCCCTAATTGGCATAATAATTCATAATTGTTTGGTTCTTATGACATTTCAATGAAACTTGGTACATAGATGGTTTGTTACATTGCGCAGACCTTATTAATTTTACACTCTGTTCATTTTAATTTTCTGATTTGCATAATGAGTTTTCAAGTTTTCCATCAATATCTCAAGTACAAGTAATTTTGAATTAATTTTTACTGTGTCTCTAATACTCTCAAGCACAAGGGAGTTCTTTCTAAGCTTTCTTTGATTTGGAGTTGACTTTGTCGCTCAAAGGGTTAATAAAAAAATACTGTAAAACTTGTTGAAAAAGCGACATGCAATTTTAGTGAATTGTGGTAAAATAACGTAATAGTGATTATCAGTATCACTTCATTTATTTATTTTCATTGAAATAATGACCACAAAGAATACGTTTATTTTTTTGTATAAATTTACTTTTCGATAAAGTGTATTTATCATGTCAGTACGTTTATTTTTGTGTTGTTTACAAAGTATGTGTGGAGAAAAAAGACGTTGTTTGGCGGCTATTTTGAATTTATAATAAAGTCATTAGCGACATCTTGAATTAGCGAATCAGTTCTCTGGCTAAATTCCCTAAAAAGACATGCCCGCAAAAATGTTTTACAGTAGTTCTAAGGTCCTCTCATCCCACAAGCCCCATGAGAGTACAACTTAATTCTAGTGAACTGCTCTCTGTTATAAAACTATTTTCCCCTAATATCTTACCTTTTGTGCCATCATCCCCGTCTGATTCCAGCGCCAGACTTTGACAGAAATCATCCACTCGTATGACCCCACTCAGTTCGGGTTCACTAGCAAACAGTTGACTCTGTCCAAGCACCACTGTGATCTTTCTTGTATCAATGTCAAACTCGCGACACTCTCTCATAAATACATACTGTCAATGTGGTTAAGGGAAGCTACAATAATAATCTGCATATTAATTAGCTAATTTGCATACTTGGCAACAGGAGATCTTATCAATCCAATCTGATTTCTGGTCTTTGATCATTGTTTGACATTTTCAAATATTGGTAATTGAATTTACTTGGATTTAATTTTCGCTGAATATACTTTTTTGGCGTTTTGTATGGAATTTATTTTCACGGATTTTTTGACAAATTGAATGTAAAATATAGGGAAAAGTTATATTCGCTGGATTTTATTTTCACAGAATCATTCCTTCAACAAAAATAACGAAAATTAATTCCAAGCAAAAATAAAGTATTCCACAGTGATAAATTAAAGCATAGATATCGACCACCGTGAATATGTTACGAATCCTTAGACCACAGAAATTGTGCACTGACAATGACCTGTTTACAAAAGACATTGAATATTTCATTCCATATTCAGTTTACCTATCAAACATTGCTAGTTACAAGTGTTTAACCATCTCACCACCAGTTTCCTCTTTCTTTGAACTTTCCTTCAGAAGAATGAGACAAAAATAGCCAAATTTGGGGGCAAAAAGTGAAAATGGATTAAAATTTTGTTCGTTGGCTACAGAATTAAGGTTTATTTCCAAAAATTTTGAAAAATATAAGAAAAAAGTGCAGAATAATTATGAAGTTAGGGAGTCTGGTGGTGAAAAGATCATAAAACAAATCATACTGTTTTTCACTGAAATCAATCCCAACAGATCATACATGTACCTCAACATTGATAATTCACTTCCGCACTGTGTTCCCAGAATGTCTTTGAGAATTCTCAGAGAACTGCATTTGTACAACACAGCATTCTGATAGATTAACAACAACTTCAGGTCGGAGGTCAAATTGTGCAAGAAAAATCCTTATGGGAAAATGCCTTGTATCACTGTTAACAATTCTAATTCCAAAAATAAGACCATCCTCCAATCAAATTGCCCATATCATCTACATGTGCACAAAATGCTTCAACCCCATTTGTAAGATGTTGTGCGACTGGCTACTAAAGGATACATCTCTGTTTGACATTGGAAATGGAAAGTTCACTTGCCAGTAGACGCCATTTTTATCTCCTTCATTAATCTCGCGCAATTCTGAAAGTAAGCAAAATTAGAGTACCATATTTGTTGTACTAGTAGCACATCAATATGAAGCTTAATTTCACATTTACATAATTATATGCACTACTAATAGAGCAAATACAAATTTGATTTGAAAAGCAAAATCAGCTTAGAGGTCCAGGATGGTGACTGTAACTTATCTAGCTTTAAGCTTAAATGCAGTCAAAACTGTCTCAAACAAAATGATGGAAATTTTAGGGGGTTTTAGAGATAAAAAAAATATATATACATGTGGACAGGCACATTAGAGTAAAACCTGTTTTCGTCCGTGCCTTTATATAAAGACTACCTGTCTATAGTGACTACTTTTAAGCAGTTCTAAGGTATAAGGCATGCGATACCTGTGTATAAGGACTACCTGCCTATAGTGACCACCTTTAAGCAGTTCTAAGGTATAATGCATGAACTACCTGTGTATGACGACCACCTGCCTATAGTGACCACTTTTAGGCAGTTCTAAGGTATAATGCATGAGTTACCTGTGTATAAAGACCACCTGTCTATAGTGACTACTTTTAAGCAGTTCTAAGGTATAAGGCATGCGATACCTGTGTATAAAGACTACCTGCCTATAGTGAACACTTTTAAGCAGTTCTAAGGTATAATGCATGAGATACCTGTGTATAAAGACCACCTGCCTATAGTGACCACCTTTAAGCAGTTCTAAGGTATAATGCATGAACTACCTGTGTATGACGACCACCTGCCTATAGTGACCACTTTTAGGCAGTTCTAAGGTATAATGCATGAGTTACCTGTGTATAAAGACCACCTGCCTATAGTGACCACTTTTAAGCAGTTCTAAGGTATAATGCATGAGATACCTGTGTATAAAGACTACCTGCCTATAGTGAACACTTTTAAGCAGTTCTAAGCTATAATGGACGAGATACCTGTGTATAAAGACCACCTGCCTATAGTGACCACTTTTAAGCAGTTCTATGGTATAATGCATGAGATACCTGTGTATAAAAACCACCTGCCTATAGTGACCACCTGTCTAATATGTGATTACTCTTTCAGCAATATTTTTGCAGATTTGTCTTTGTTCAGAGACCAAAATAATAAATAGCATTCTGTTTGATCTCAAATTCAACTCAAATAAGTGTTTTTGCCGTACCGTCTCACTGTCTTTTAGAAAAATATTACAGTTGGTAATGGTAATATAAAGATCACCTGTCTATGAAGACAATTTTAATAAAGTCCCTTGGAAGGTTGCTATACACAGGTTTCACTGTACCTTGGGAGGTTGCTATACACAGGTTTCACTGTACCTTGAGAGGTTGCTATACACAAGTTTAACTGCACCTTGGAAGGTTGCTATACGCAGGTTTCACTTTACCTTGGGAGGTCGCTATACACAGGTTTCACTGTACCTTGGGAGGTTGCTATACACACGTTTCACTGTACCTTGGGTGGTTGCTATACACACGTTTCACTTTACCTTGGGAGGTCGCTATACAAAGGTTTGAATGTACCTTAGGTGGTCGCTATACACAGGTTTGAATGTTCCTTAGGTGGTCACTATACACAGGTCTCACTGTACATTTGGTGGACGCTATACACAGGTTTCATTACTTTACATGGTCACTATACACAGATTTGACTAGCTTAGGTGGTCACTAAGCACAGGTTCGACTGTACTTTAGGTGGTCATTATACACAGGTTTGACCTGTATCTTGGGTGATCACTATACACAGATTTAACTACCTTGGTGGTCACTATACACAGGTTTGAACTGACCTTTCACATATCCATCCCATTCTTTCCTGTATTCTAAATCTACGTACACTTGTCTACACGTCTCTGGTGACACTCCTTTTAATAAACCAAATATCTTGTATTCATAGAGCCCAGATTCCTGTAAGGGCAGATAAATAAGGGCACACAACCCACATGATAAGGTAAATGAGGTCTCAGTAAAAAAAGCAGGTGGTAAGCTAGCGCAGTTTGAACTGAATTCAAATTTTGCACTACTGTTGCTGCACATACATGCAATGCATTATGGGAGATAACTTCAAATTTTGCACTACTGAGCATGTTACTGCACATACATGCAATGCATTATGGGAGATAACTTCAAATTTTGCACTACTGAGCATGTTACTGCACATACATGCAATGCATTATGGGAGATAACTTACAGTTTTCTATTACTGTAAAGCACTTTATTTTCACTTGGAATTTATTTTCGCTGTAAAAATGCTTCGGTGAAAATAAAATCCACCCAATACATCTTTTTCCTATATTTTACATGCAACTGATCAAAAATCAGTGAAAATAAATTTCATATAAAACAAGTCTTTTCAGAAAAACTTAATTTCAGGTAAAATAAAGTATTTTACAGTAATAGAAAACTATATCATACTGAATATCATATACTTTATTCAATATAAAATGTATATATATAGTGTCTCGGTCAATATTTTCCTCATCGAGGCATTATACCTGAATAATGACCTCTATTTGTTCATTATTACATGCATACATATTTCCATAGTGTGATATAATACAAGACAAATCAATAATGCATGTCATTATATCAGTATAGCAAACTGTGTAATAGACAATTTTCCGTTCTTTGTTAACGTACTACAGGACAAACAAAATTCATAGCATCGTAGTGGCGACAAACGACGCATGGGATTCGACAAACCCGAATGTATTTTGGGGATATTTCCATGCTTAATAATGTTCTGTATACATTTGACGATGGTAAATTTCGATGAAGTAAGGGTATTCAATCGCAATATTCCCCTGTCAAAGATCGGCCTTTGATGTGAGGTACGAATTAAAGAAATTCCAGTTCAAAATCAAATGATCTTTGCGGCAGACATTCGGTGCACGTCTTTCACGCAACTCGTGAGATCTCGCAGTTGAACGGGGAATCACCTATTTTTACACTAACACTTTTTATGCTAATATTTGTAAATATTTGCCTCTTGCAATATTAATTTATTCAATTAACATCCAAGGGATCGCATCATGTGATATTGAATGCACAAGTAACAGACAAGTAAAAACAAAAAACAGTACAAATATTTTTTTTATTTTATGTTAAATGTTCTTTAAAGCGGGAGAGTCGTCACCTGCGCATGCGTGAGATGGCCATAGCTTGTCATTGTTTACAAACAAGTGTCTCCCCATTAGCCTTTGCGTTTTCAGCGTGTGTTGTTATAAATTCCCACACGTGTGCAGGTGACGACCCTCCCGCTTTAAGGTACTGTGAAATAATTTATTTTAGCTGGAATTAATTTTCGCTGAAAAACACATTTTAGGTGATTTGTATGTAATTTATTTTCACTTTATTTTTGGCAAGTTGAATGTAAAATATAGTAAAAAAGGTATATTCACTGGATTTTATTTTCACTGAATCATCCCTTCAGAGAAGATAGCAAAAATTAATTCCAAGCAAAAATAAATATTTTACAGTGTACTCATTAAATTATAAATGCAAATTAACAGAATTTATTCATTTTCCATTAAACTGTACTTCTGGGCATTATAAGGATATTGGCTTAAAAATGTTATGAGTTCGCCAGCTAATTTTTGAAGAAATTATGGTTGTATTTTAGTGATTAGTAGCAATTTTGGCAGTATTATAGTGCCTTTAACACATATTCCTATGGCAGAGATATTATGCCATACTAGTATCTTAAATTGTAGACTGGTGACATAGGCTGAAAAAAATCATATATTGTGAATGATGGGTTAATTTTTGTTGTCCTAATTTATTTCAAAAATCTGGATTTTAAAAAGTGTCAAAAATTAAACTAGCAATTTTTGTTAAATATTTGAAACACAAAAAATTGCTATTTCATTGTGCCATGAGACACTTATTTCATGATTTTACATAATAAACCAATGAATATGGTCATCGGATTTAGGACCAAATTATAAGCTACAGTAGTTTCTACCTTAAGCTCTGAGCCCCATCCCTAACCTGTAACCTAACCCTAACATTCCACCACCCCCCTCCACAATGTGATTTTATATGCCCCTATAAATAACTGAATAGGAACACGTTGAAATGAAGTGTGGAGGGACTGTCACTGGGTGTATATGATAGAGGGAAGTTGTGCAACCAACTTTGCCAAGTTCGCAGTTTTTCGCTGATAAAAAAATAATTAAGGCAAAAACTAACCGTTTTTCAGCATTTTTGTAACAAAGCTAGACATTATTCTCTATCAATAATCCGCCCAAAACCAGAACATTTCTACTAAATCTTGTGTTTTTTCGACGTTTTTTGAAAAACCTGCGGTTAGGCTGCGAAAGTAGTTCCATGCTCTATCATATACACCCAGCGACACCCATGCCAGCTGACTGTGTGGTGGGGTGGAGTTAGGAGAGGGTCCTGGAACTTTTACCTCTTCGGGTTGTCAAAACATGTCTCAGTATTGAGAGATTGTGAATTCTCTACATTTGGAGCCTTGTTACCAATTATCTCGTCCGCACCTTCCTGTTGGGTGAGTTTGTTCGACTGTGTGTATCAGTCGGCTGCGAATGTCTGCCGGCCTTTATAGCCAAGTCTGACCGTGGCGGGTGGTGGTCACAACAAATTGGACCCAAGTGATTGTTTATTTAAAAAAAAATCAATGATTATAACCACAAACCTCTCGATATTTCCTGTATATTTTGACGTCGTGCGATTCCGTGAAAAATTCATATTCGTCAATAATCGGACTCTTCAACTCGTTGCATGCTTCTAGAAATCTGTCTTCCGAAAACATATTCAGGCGAGAAAATGGGACGTTTCGTTGTGAACAGCGACGCCCGGTGTTTGAGTCAATGAAATTCCTACTCGTGGTCAAAGGTCAAATGCGCCGACCACCTAACTTACTCAACAGGCGCATCCAATCAAACTTGGCCATTTGTTTAACATAAAATACACGCTTACCTAGGCTGATCCCACGAGGTCACGCATAAACAAAAAAATAAGCCTAGACTTAATTTAAAATAACATCAGAAAAGCAGTTTACATATTTTACAAGTAGTTTGTAACATATTTACCGAACGTCACATCACAGTCCATTCAAGTTTGGGAAAGTAATATGAATGGGCACGCGTATAGTATGTAGTTAGTACAAAAACGAATATTATAAGTAGAAAATTGTACATAAATCACGTGGCAATATTCGGTTTATTATTACATCCATGAAGCTGCAGTTGCATGGTAACATGACATTTTTTGTGTGTTGCAGTACCGTATTTTGAGAAAATTGGTCTAGAAATATTGTTTTCTCCAAAATCGCTATTTATAGAACAATTCTAAACACGATTTTAAAAAATGATTTTTTTTTTTTTTTAAATAATTCATAAGGCAATCAGTCACGATATATATTTTTTTACCAGTCTATGTCACCAGCCTACAATTTGAGATATTACTCTTTATGAACCGGATATGCGTCCTCGCAAGCTCGGGCGCTCCTGGCGCACGACCCTGTAATGATAGCGACTTCACGTTCGCACGTAAAAGTTTTTACCATATATCTGATAGGTGTAATAGACCATTTTCCGTTCACTGCGAGAATCACGCGTTATGCGTGAAATCGAACGTAAAAACAGGACAAACAAAGGTCATAGCGTCGTAGTGCGTTGTGTCGTCACCGGAAGCGCTGTCCCAGCACAAA